TTACAATTTTAATTTTAGATTTCGTTCTAATACATCCTAACCGGACATTTAAGACATACCAAGTCTACAGATATAGAGTTAGTAACAGAGTCTAAAATGCGAGTATATACATAGATGGGGGGGAGGGGAAGCTGTCCATTGAACGACAGGTTGAGATTTGTACCATTACCGGGGCCAGTTTTGCAATGCTCTCCCCCGAAGGTGCTCTTTAAGAGAGGTTTTGAAGGTAAGTATAGTTATACTGTTTGTGTAGGCTACTGTATGGTTGGTTTCGCTTAAAAACAATTATCCTCTCTCTTTCCCAGTAAGTCAGTGGGAAAAAGTATATTTGGGCAACATCACTACAACAGACCGTGGAGGCTTTTAAAAAAGGCCTCAAAACCCATCTTTTCAATAGAGCCTTTGCCCTAGTGTAGCAAGTGTATTAGCTGTAATTAAATGAGTGATATTCAGAAGAACTAGGAACGACTATGGAGCTCAATGTGTGTGAAAAATACAAACTGAAACCAGGTATGCGTTACAAAATAGTTGTATTCAAGATATCAACAAGTTCATTCAAATTCACATGATTATTTTCAGGTGCCCAGTAAAGGCAAAAGACAACAAAAGAAAAGCTTCCGGGGTAAAGTTAATTAATTTCCGTTTAATCCTACTTCACCATGTGGCAGGGAGGATAGGTTTAGAATCTTAGCTCGCCATCAAGGTCCATGAAAGGTCATCAGGTGTGGCAAGCACCTGGCAAAAAAAAAAAAATCCAAACAAAAAACCTGACCTGTAAAAGGTCACAAGGAATAATTAGTATCTTCCCCTTTAAGCATTTAAATAAAAATAAATCTCTTAAATAGAATAAATACATCACTTGTATAATAAATCTCTTAAATAAAATAAATACATTTCTGGTTGTACAACATTTCTATATCCATTTCTATACAAAACATTAATCTGTTTAAATTCAGCCAGTAAACAGCAAAGCAATACTTCAGGGCTGATAGCCAAAAGCCCACAAGGTTACACTTAAAGTAATTGGGATCAGTGAAGACTAGGGTTGCCAACTTCCAGAAATGGAGAAACGGGACACCCGCGCGCGTGAGCGCGAAGATTTTCGGGTTTCTGGCGGATTTAGTCACTTTATTTCGGTTTTAGGGTTAGGGTTATGTTATTTAATTCTCTTGGGGGAGCCAGCCCCCTAGGGTTCGAGGGGTCAAACCCCCCAAAACGCATAGAATGCATACCTATAATAACACAATACAAACACAATGGTCTTACATCTGCATTAGGCTACTACATCACATTGTACGTCAGCATGTTCAAATCGGATAGGTGGGCACTAGGGACATCTGGGCACCTCGATGTACAATTGGCTATTTTGTCCAAAATGTTAAAAAATAAATATTTGAAAAATGGTATTAAGTAATGCAAAGTATACATGATGTGAACATGCACGGTACATCATTATTAGACGTAATGTTATCCTTCAACCAACCATTTTCCAAGCATTTTCCCATCAATCAGTTGACTGACCAGACCCGGCGCCAGAACAAATCTAAAGGGAGGGCATATGATTTTCATGGGAGGGCACAACACCGTCACGTGCTGCGGGCCTGCGGCACAATATCAAACAGCAAGGCCAACAGCATTGTGCAAAGACGCACACTTATCGCAAACACATACACAAATAAAGGGCAACATAGAAACCACCTTTGAAACATTGTGTGCGTGGCAGCACAGACACTGGTAAATCACGAGCAAGGCACACTGGTTAAGGATGGCAGCTTCCTCATCGTTGCACTCGGAGATAAATAGTAGAGACGGAGACAATGAACTGCTGTTAGCTCTATTATGGCATTGTGCATGTCGTGAGAGGTGTGTGTTGCTGTGTGGGGAATGCTGTCCATTATTTTGGCCAACTCTGCATCTTTGTACTGCAGCGTATACTCAAACAGCGACAGGAAGAGCCCACTGCCTGACTTGGACATGCTGTGGAGTGAATCGTGGTCACCTCTGAGAGGGAGTTAGTTGACAGCTAAAAAAGCTATAATATCAACGACAGCTGACATGTAATAACGGCTCCGTGCCAGCTGATCTGCACCAAAGTACTCATTTCCTTATTGTAAGGGAAACTTCTCCGTCCCCCTGCCTGATCGGTATTGCGCATGTGCGAGATGGTCATATTGGACAACTCCGGACGGCAACCCAAGTAGGACACTTGACACAGTGGCTTTTAGCAACGCTCAAAAAGAAAACTCGAGAGAGATGAGTTATTGTTATTACAACGTGACTTCACTATTATTTAACAACTCTTTTTATTGGGTTCTTTTATTTGGGGTTAAGTACATTGTCAGAATAAGTGAGAAATGGATTTAACTTCTGTTAGACAGCTATCATACTGAATAAATATTTACTGTGAATGTATGCAAAAATGTATGGCATATGGCTGTCCAGGTTTGATCCTGGAAACGTGAAAGGTGGGATGGACCCGCAGAGTCCGAGGCAGTCTTAGCCTTACTGCTGCGGGATTTATTATCCTTATAATCTCAAAAGGTCCAATGAACCTCGGTGCAAGCTTTTTGGACTCCACCCGTAAAGGAATATCCTGGGCGGACAGCAATACCTTTTGGCCCACCTGATAGACGGGTTTCTTGGAACGTCGGCGGTTGGCAGAGGAGGCGTACCGGTTGGCCGAACGAACAAGAGTTATCCCGGCCTGATTCCAGGTCTGGCGACAGCGACGGATGAAAGCTTGGACGGACGGACAGGTAACCTCCCTCTCCAGGGCCGGAATCAGAGGGGGTTGGATCAGTATGCACACTGAAATGGGGACAGCTTGGTGGCCGAACTGATCAGCGTGTTGTGGGCGTACTCGACCCAGAACAGTTGTTTGGCCCAGGCCTCTGGGTGCTTGGAGGCTATACAACGTAAAGCCGTCTCCATCTCCTGGTTCTTCCTTTCAGTCTGACCGTTGGATTGAGGATGGAAACCGGATGACAGACTGACCGTGGCCCCAATGAGCGTGCAGAATTCCCTCCAGAACACCGAGGTAAATTGGGGACCACGATCGGAAACCACATCGGTAGGTAGCCCATGGAGCCGGAACACATGGAACAGGACCAGCTCCGCCGTCTCTTTAGCTGAGGGGAGCTTGGGAATCGGCACAAAATGAGCCATCTTACTGAACCGGTCTACCACCGTCAAGATGGCAGTGTGCCCGTTGGACGGTGGAAGACCCACATTTCTCTGGACTTTGTTACTGAACAAAGTCCAGAGAAATGTGGGACCAGGGGCGATGAGGGATAGGCAGAGGTTGTAGGAAACTAGCAGGAGCTTGGTGAGAAGACTTGTGTTGATTGCACACAGGGCAGGCATTTATTTATTCTTTATTCATACTTCTTTGTTAAACATTAAGCTGTCTTTGGCACTTTTCTGCTGTACCAAATGTAAATGTCCCCTCTGTGGGACGAATAAAGGTATTCTGATTGTGATTCAAACCAAATGTGTCACTTTGATTGCCATGAAAGTCTTACCCTAGTATTTCTACATCAGTATTGTATGGTCAAGCAGTAAGAGCAGTAATTCGAAACTTATTAAGATTCTGTTAAAGTGGACCTATCATGCTATATTTGAATAATATATTGTAGGGCCATACCTATATAAAACATGTCTGTGAAGTTTTTTTTTCAAAATACCAAACAGATCCTGCATTTTAGCCATGCCTCATTTCGCTCTATTTGCTCTTTTCCAGCCCTGTTTTTGCAAGGGCTGATTCTGCTTTTTTGGCAGACTACAGCGCCACTTACAGGCCTGGCATATACATGTACTACAGCGTCTCCAGCGCTTTCGAGCGGTCTCTCATTCCCCTGATAGGTGGAGAGTTTCCCATATAGGCGGAGCACCCCTTTTCTGACGTCAGAAAAATTCAAATAATAATCAGCTCCGTTGCAGCCCCGTTTTTAGAGATTTGGGTATGGAGGAAAAGAGAGAGGGTTGTGTTTTCTGACACTTGGTGAGTTCCCTGACACACCGGGGACACATATTCATGTATAAAAGACGTACAAAAGTGCATTTTGCATGATAAGTCCCCTTTAAATTAAACGTTATAATTGAGGCAAAATGTGAATGTTTGGCATTATGCTGATGGTAAAGTATTAACCTGATGCAGAACATCACTGGTACAAATCTACCAGTCATTTTGTGGAATAAGGAGCCTGCAAAAGGTCTAAAGGATATTAATAATACAAACAAAATACTGAATCTTATAATTGTTCCCTCATCTGTGTCTACATTATTTAACAAAGTGCCAAATTAGCTTGCTAATTTAAGATTTGTTCCATGCCTTAAAGTGACTAGATCAAAGATTATTCATAGTTAATATAAGGGTTAGTGTTAGAACACCGCATCATTCCTTTTGCAACGCGTATTTTAATACAGCACATATTTATGTTTCTTGTTGTGATGTTGGTACAGGTTTTGTTCCGTTTTTATAAAAAATATTATAATATTTTTTTTAATTTACAATGGAAATGATAATGAATTTGAAAAATGTAAGAACTATGAACCAATTAAATACTACCAACAGTTATGTAGCAGCCAACAACGAAAAATGCTTCACTGTATCAGATGAGAAGATGCTTCCTGAAGTTTTCAAAAAATGACAGGGACTTCAGTTCCGACTTGTGTATTGTTTCTTATGACAAAATTCAAAATAGAGGATGAATAAAAAACGATATCCACGTTTACTTGCGATAATTTTTATTTGAGAGTCATTCAAAGTAGCCACATAACCTAATTAGCATACATCATATGCATGTATATCGATCTTAAATTGCAAACACAACATAACAGCTCCTCCGCCCTGTCCTTCTTAGGATGCTACAGACCTTGTTTTGATAAATAGCAATATAAATTAAGTTCACACACTTTTTAACTACAGACATAAGAAGAGGTAGATATGCTGATGCCCAACACTTTTTATTCTTTATTCTCTCTCTCTCTCTCTCTCTCTCTCTCTCTCTCTCTCTCTCTCTCTCTCTCTCTCTCTCTCTCTCTCTCTCTCTCTCTCTCTCTCTCTCTCACATAATTCCTATCAATCACCTGACTTGACATGAAGTGTTGTCCTTAACATATTGACTCTCATCATTTATTTAAGTTGTAGTAAAGGACAGCAGGGCATTTCAAACTAGGTGACAGATTCAAGATTAGACAGTTTGGTCAATTTTAAGAAAGAAAAAAATGAAATGCACAAAATGTGTGCAAACTTTTTCGAATTGAATGGTATTCTCCTTTAAATAATAAAAAAGGATACAGCCTGTATTTACAGTGCATATTGCAAAGGGAAGTAAAAATAGATGAAATAACAAATGCATTATTATTTATATTATATTATTTGTTAAGCACAATTCAATTGTTTTTCTAACCTTATATTACAATTACATGTCCCTGTATGTCTATAGCACACTGCGGTATCTGCTTCAGGTTTGAATCGAGTCTCTCCAGTTTACTCAATAGTTGATCATTGGAGTTCACTCCTGCATTTTTCAATATCGCCGGAAGCAGTCGAATCTGACTTGCCGTGGCAGAAGCGACCCAAGTGTTGATCAGTGAATGAAGTTCTGAGGTGGTAAGTCCTGAAACTGCTTGTTTTTTGCTGTCCTTAGTCGGAAGCCTGTGTGCGAAACGACGCAGACGCCTGCCGGGAATATTGTGGTGGACGAAGAAAGCTGGGAGGATCTCTTTGAGGTAGTCGCCCCCGTCTGCAAGAAATAAAGAAGATTAGGAAACATGGAAAAACAAGTCAGAAAATAAAAATGTCCTTCAGATGAGACTGTTTGCTCGTCATGGAGCTATTTTAATGGCCTCAAATGTACAGGTTTAATAAGGTCACATGTGGAAGTCATTTACAATTATTTGCAATAAAGCTTTTAAATATGATTTACATTCCCTAGGCAGCTGACTTTCAGCTCTTGGGAGTCTCAGGGTCTATGAACACAACACAAATCAGTCCCTTTTTATGACTGCATAAGTGCAAGATGATATGTGACAGGGCCGTGGGACTAACAGATTACATTTAACAGCATTATATAATCAGGATAGAAACAAAGGTAACTGTGTTTCCTTACAGTTACATACAAAAAGATGTAATCAGATTACATTTCCATTTAATAAAATGAGGTTAATTAGTATTAGTTACAATACATTTTGAAATAAAGATCAATATATTATAGGCACTGTCTGAATTTTATTTTTGTTTTTCCTTTATACTTTATTCTTTTAGTAAGTGCGATAATCTCCAAAAACAAAGATATTATATTATTTCCCCTTCTTCCTTATAGGACCTTTATCAGCTGTTCACCTTTTGATTTGAGGTCTTGGCAGTTGGCGCACACGCTGTCGTGCCAGGCGGAGCCCTTCAGCACCAGCTTCAGCCCTGGAGCAGCGCAGCTCTTGTGTTGTGTGCAGTTCTGGAGAGCAGAGGAGGTGTCGGAGTAGGTCTCGTAGGGACATTTGCGGCAAAGAGTGTCCTCATCAGGTGTACCTGGAGAAGACATTTGTTCTCAATACAGGACAAACCACATACTGCATGATGTCCCTGTGAAGATATCTGTCCAATATTAATCGTACTTTTATTGTAGGGACAGATACTAAACCTCTTCAGTCTTTACATCCGACAGATGAAACCCAACCAAAAACAGCAACAACAACATTATATTGCTTTGTGACAAACATTAGAAACTAAAGGTATATGCGAAAATTGACCTGTTTTCAAGCATTATTCCACATATTTTTAGTTGCTATACAATACTTTCCATTTTAACTGTAAATACAGTACAAGTTACAGCTTTGTGCCACTTAGGGGCAGTACACTTCAGTCTAAGGATGTCAAAACTCTTCCCTATCAGTGTTTTCATGCCTGCTTTGACATCGTTATGTAATATGTGTGTGTGGTTACATTTGTTTAATATGATGCCATGGTAACGCTGTGAATACAATTTAGATTGTAGAATCTTAAAGGAAACATGCTGATTTTGATGAATTAACAAGTTTATAGGGATGTCTTACTGTAACAGAATTACAATCCTTATTAAATAAACTGATTTAAAAGCATGTTTTACCAATTTTACAAGAGGTATCCTGTTTAAAATATTGTGGCAGCGGACATTTTTGTTGCAGTGAATACACTGAACTCCTATAGTGTCCCACAATGCATTGTGGGTTATTATACAGTAACAACATGTTTCAATGTTATATAGTGAATTTTCAGAATCTTAAAGGTTTTTATTATTGAGGCATCAATAGGCGGGTATCAATACCATTCAGTTTTTCTGGATTGGCAGGAATATCAATTGTGTTTCTTTGTTTTACTATAATTAAGTAAAGCCTATCTATACAACCGTGCTATACCCCTGGGTTTTTTATTCCCCACCTGCCCAACATAATATCGAGCAAATGTTCTAAGTCTGGAGCCTACCTTTGGCCAGCACTTCTTGACCAGAAGGACACTCTTTGTGGCCGGAGCACATGTCGTTGTGGCTCTGGTAGTAGTATCCCTGTTTGCACTGACACTGGCAGTCACGCTCTGCGGTGCACGCGGTCTTCACCTCCTGGTAATAGCCACACGCGCTGCATCGTAAACACCTACTGATGTAATTCCACAGCTCCGTGAACGAGCCCGACGGACAAGGCGCGCACAAGCTCTTCTGCGTCGCTGTGCAGCGTGCGCGCAGGTAGGTTCCCGGGGGACACTTGTCGCACTCCAACGACTCTTCGGTGGCCGAATCTGTGTACGTGAAGGTCCGGACGGCGGGGGGTACTTCTTCACTCCGGGCCACCCGCAATGAAAGCAGCAGCAGCAGCAGCAGCGGGAAGAGAGAAACCAACATATGGAAGTGAGGAGGAAACTGGAAAAGAAGGAAGTAAATGCGATGTTATTTAAGGAATACTAGGACGTTTAAAAAGGAGAAATACTGGAAAATAACAGTGCAAGGACAAGTTGCACATCTGGAACCGGTTAGTCCAATCTAATTTGCTAAATTCCAGGACATATTATCTTTACTCTTATTTCCAGCAGTGTCCAGGTCAAGCATCTTCTTGTAAGGAATTATAATAAATAACTTATATTTACTATCTTTTAGCACCAACAACTAACCAGAATATTTCAATGTTGTTTAAAATATATATAAAATAGATATAAGAATATCTCCTGAGGGTTAAAGTGTTGCAGACAGACATGTTTGCAGTGAGAAGTCTCAGCATGTCTGCCCTCTTCACCCCCCTCTCCACCTACCATCGTTAAAGTGTTGAGTTCCAGGCCTAAGGGTGGGATGGTGCTCTCTCTACGCCCTCTGCTCTGCTATTTATTATATGCAGCTCTGACGATGACAGATACAAAAACAAACTCATTATGAATCATGACACTGGTATTTTGTCATCACAAAGGTTTATTGACTCATTTGTCAGGAAGGATTCCCCACTAAATAACCTTTACATGCTATTAAAAGCTTTCCCCAAATAGACATTTATTGTTTTACTCTTGGACAATATCTCCACAAATTAAACTTCATCCATCCCAAATTTGAGATACCAGGAGTTTCATGGCAGTTTTTTTATTCTTTTTATTTTTCGGCCTATTTACGTGATTACTCATGTTTTCCACAAAATAGTTTGCAGTCATTATGGCTAATAATGGTCGTCTCTACTATATTTTGTATTATACTATTACATACTTTAAGTTTATAATGATATATGTATTTTGTTTTTTAAAATAAAGTTATTTTGTGATTTGTTCAATGGATAATGTTGCTTTACTCTAATGCTTTAGTGAGGTATTCATCAAAAGTATATCAGACTAAAATATTTTCAAAGTGGTAATACATGTAATTAATATTGCTGGGAGAAATGGAACTGTTTTAAGCGAATTGGCTGAAAATGGGCATTACATTTTAAGGCTTTATGTTTTAAATGTATATATTGTATTCATGCTGCTGCTCGCATTTGTTTTCTATTTGTTTTTACTGTCAGTTTGGATGTTTCCATGTTAATTGTTGGAAATAGAAAGCCTCTACTGTATGTGTATGATTTGAAAATATCAGTCTTTGTTACTCCTGGTGGAAGTATTGTAAATGTCCTCCTTCAAATTCCCTTATTAGAACGTAAGAGGGAGGAGTCATGACATTCATACAATTATGACTCAGTCTTTACTTTTCTAGAAACAGCCAAAGCATCCCTTCCTCTTCTCACCAGATGCATCAGAGTGACTGACTGTTACCATTGAGAACTGACAGTGACATCTTGTGGACAAAATACATAGCTGTTGGGCAGGGACGTGCACAGACATTTGGGGGGGGGGGGGGGGGGGGGGGGGGGGGGGGGGACGTGTGCTCAAGTGAGAAAAAGGGCACTTCCCCTAATCATTTATAAAAAAATGTTATGACTTACTGACCAATTTATTTTAATACCCTCACACTCACGTAATTGTTTAATACTCAGCAGAATTCTACAAAATAATCAGCTAACACAGAGACAATGGTCTTCTTTTGTATTCACAATGCACAAGAGCAGACAACAAACTAGTACAATTAATAGTTATTAAATGAGCAGCCAACAATCAAAATTATGAAGTTACTGTTTAAGGACATTACAGGCAAAAAGATCGTTTTTTCACGTAGCCTACTTGTTGTTTTGGTCTATTTTGCTTCCATGTTTTCTTTCACTCTAATGGAAGTAAAACTTCCAAGAAACACAAATGGTGTTCGTTTTATACCATGTCTGAATTCATCTATATATATATAAAGCTAATCTGCATTTAAACATAACATTTCCGGGGAAAATACTGACTTGACGTAAGTAACTATCTGGGGAAGTTCTGAAGTGATATGTTTTTTTGTTTTATCCTTTTCACCTGCAATGCCTTGGTAACTGCATGCAAATTAGCGCATTTTAATTAGGCCTAGTTAACGCCTAATTTTCATATCAATGTGGCGATTGTGATGACGTTATTAGATACACATTTTTACTGTATTCACTTTAAGTGTCTCCCCTTAAGTACAGTACATTAGCCTGTATGCCCATGATAAATTGCCTTAGCTAAACCTTGAGCTAACTTATCCATTAGCTAGTAGCCTACCTTAGTTAACTATATTTGTTATTGTCTTTTAGCTAATTAGCTGTAAACTTGAGGCACTGGCAGTTTAGTAATTTGTTCATCACCAGTCACCTTCAAAATAAACCAAGAAAAGCCGGCATAACATGGGACATTAAAGTGGCAGGTGCAGGCCCGGTTCTACGGGGGTGCATTGCACCCTCAGTTGAGTCGTTATGCACCCTCATTTGAAATGAAAAGTAAAAATATTAAAAGTGACAAATATTACATATAATAACAATAATAATAATAATAATAGTAGTAATAATAATAATAATAATAAGAAGAAGAAGAAGAAGAAGAAGAAGAAGAAGAAGAAGAAGAAGAAGAAGAAGAATAAGAAGAATAAGAAGAAGAAGAAGAAGAAGAAGAAGAAGAAGAAGAAGAAGAAGAAGACGAAGAAGAAGAAGAAGAAGAAGAAGAAGAAGAAGAAGAAGAAGAAGAAGACGAAGAAGAAGAAGAAGAAGAAGAAGAAGAATATAGTTGAAATACAATTAATTGTAATTGTGGTTAAATAACATTGTCTGCTGCATTTATTTGGTCAATTTAAACGGTAAGTAACGTTATTATGTCAGGTGCGCGTGACCTGTGCCGCTGCACGTTCGTCATCTGCAAGGTGCTTACACAGCAGTCAATGATGGACATCAGAAAATGGTTAAAACAACCGGCCCTTATCGCCAGCAGTAACACTGCATCTACTGCAGGTAATAACCAAGCCCCCAGGAAGTGCGCCGGACTCTGAGGAAAATATTCGTTGTGGCCAAACGGCGGTACTACACTTCCTTTGGGTTGCCAGGACCGGTAACACTTTTCCCATTGACTTACATGGGGAAAGAGTGGTCTGTAAATCGTTGGATAATTTTTTTTAAACTAAATAAACTACCCAGTATGAACACTTGTATAGCCCTTATTAAAAACATTCGTTCCTCAAGTTGTAAAATGTGCTAATAACGTTATTCTGAGAGTTATTTCCCTCGGCATTATGAACGCGCATCTAACCCACGGGACCGCGCCGCCCGGCACGTTCAAGTTACGTGTTCAGCGAGAAGGGTCTAGCTGCGGCCGCGGACAGTACACGACGGTACACGTTGGTACACGACACGCCCACCTGACACGACACTACGGTGGCTGAGAAGGGTCTAGCTGCGGCCGCGAAAGTTGTACTTCCAAATATGGTCAGAAGAGAGCACGCCCAATTCGTGAGACACTGATGCAAGGATATTTAAAGAGACATGGAGGTTTACAGACAGACAACAAACAATATGGCGCACCGAGTACAGGTAATTAACGTATTGTGGTTCTAGATATAATTACATACTATTTAGGTTCTCGTTTGTTTGTCGATGTGGCTGTTTAGCGCAGTGTAATTGTGTTTATTTTGCTATATAGATATATATATCTATATATATATAGATATATATATATATATATAGGCGCTATATATATCTTATTATTAATACATCATTGGAACGGTACATCCAGTATGCCTACATGACAAGCATTTTTATAATATACAGTAAACATATCTTTGACTTATTGCAAAATTATAAAATGAAATTCACCCCTGCTGTCATTCTGGCTTTCACTGTTCAAATGAGATGTCAACCATCAAAATGGGATAAGGGGTTCCAAGCGGTTCTCAAACGGATAGGTTATTAATGTATTTGCCTAATAGTTGCTTAAAATGCTACAATAACATGCCATGTACGGTCTCTCAGCCACCGTAGGCGGCGTAGTAGGGGACGTGTCGTGTAGTGTCGTCTATTCGCTTTTCATCTGCCATGCCTCTGCCATGCCTCTCAGGCCACCGTAGTGTCGTGTCAGGTGGGCGTGTCGTGTACCGTCGTGTACTGTCCGCGGCCGCAGCTAAACCATATTGTGTTCAGCACTACATGCGTTTATCTTTACCCATTGATGCACAATAAGAACGGACCATGTCGCCTTACTGGCTAGCCCACGGAGCTGTAATAATGGATATATTGCACATGTTTGCTGTAATTCATCATTTGTAAAACATTATACTACATTGGCTGTATGATGTAAATCTTGTACCGTAAATCTTGTATTAAATAAAGTTGATATTACCGACGTTGTTAGATTAACGTCCCTGTAGCTTCTTATTGCACTAAGAAGCTTATTGCACTGTATATATGTATATGTATGTATGTATGTATGTATATATATATATATATATATATATATGTATATATATGTATATATATATGTATATGTATATATTAGGGCTGTCAGTCGATTCAAATATTTAATCGCGATTAATCGCATGATTGTCCATAGTTAATCGCGATTAATCGCAAATTAATCGTACATTTTTTATCTGTTCTAAATGTACCTTAGAGGAATATTTTTCAAGTTTTTAATAGTCTTTGTATCATATGAGTGGACAAATATGCTTTATGCTAATGTTTATTATCATTTGAACAATGACAAATATTCTCATGAATATTAAACACAACAACCTCTGAACATTACAAATATTCGCCTCAATTCAACCTGGAACCTCTCTCATACAATAATACAATACAAATGGTGTGTGCAGTGGCGTAACAAGGTTGTGATTGGCCCCGGTGCAAATATTGTTTTGGGCCCCCCCCCCCCCATAGCCCCAAACATAAGCGCACGCTGATGCGCTCACACACACACGGACATACACAACCAGTCAGAAGTGCCACATGTATAGGCTATCAACAACAGCCTGCCCTGGCCTCAGACCACCACAGCCTGACAACGGCACAGCGAACTAAGAAGAGGATTACACCTGTTTCCTTGATGTTTGTCTCTGGGGAATGGGCCGTTAGGCCTACATAGACCGATTGCTATAATATAGCTTTTGATCTTGGCGTCGGAGGTCTCAATGGCGACATAGAGTCCCCTATCGGGTGGGGCCCTTGGGGGAACTGTTGGACCACCACCGGGCACAGCCAAATCCAGCCTCTCCTCCTGGCTGGCTGGAGAAGAAGGTTGCACAGCCACGGCCACGGATACAAGCTGTATGCGTGGCCGTGGCTGTGCAACCTTATGGACTTATGGAGCTAGATAGCAATGATGTTGGTGAGCTATCGTTAGCCTCCGGCTCCGGCTGCCGCTACACGTCAACATTGCTAACGTTAGCGCTCGATTTCGAGGACGA